TATAAATGTTAAGTGTTGAAGTATAAATGTTAAGTGTTGAAGTATAAATGTTAAGTGTGAACTATAAATGTTAAGTGTTGAAGTATAAATGTTAAGTGTTGAAGTATAAATGTTAAGTGTTGAAGTATAAATGTTAAGTGTTGAACTATAAATGTTAAGTGTTGAAGTATAAATGTTAAGTGTTGAAGTATAAATGTTAAGTGTTGAAGTATAAATGTTAAGTGTTGAAGTATAAATGTTAAGTGTGAAGTAAATGTTAAGTGTTGAAGTATAAATGTTAAGTGTTGAAGTATAAATGTTAAGTGTTGAACTATAAATGTTAAGTGTTGAAGTATAAATGTTAAGTGTTGAAGTATAAATGTTAAGTGTTGAACTATAAATGTTAAGTGTTGAAGTATAAATGTTAAGTGTTGAACTATAAATGTTAAGCTGCTGTGTTCAGCAGGGCTGAGTTTTTTCTTGCCAGTTTGTCAATCAAATTTGAAGAGGCGCAGTAGAATATTGTAATGATTGGAGGTAAAGAGGAACATATTTTTTTCTTTTCATGCCATCACTGAAGAAACACACTAGAAGCCTATTGGACCATGGTTTTGTTTCTTTTATTGCCGAAAAAAAAATTGGATCAGCGTAATGTTGACACGACTCTATTGATTGAAAGACATATTTTGAGTTTCAGGAACTAAAAGTTAAGTTGGGTCAGTTAGAATATACAATTTAGTTGAATTGGTAGTGAGTCATGCTTACTTAACAAGCTGAGTTAAATAAATGGGTGGGGAATGATTGTTTAAACTAAGTATCTTCAGTTTCTGTAACTGTTATTAGTATATTCAACTTAAATGTTCTATTCCATTCCATTATGGGCTTAAGTACATTGAACGTAGTCCACTTCACTTAGTCAACTAATACTTCATTACTTAAAAAAATTTTAAGGCAACGAGTTACCTTGGTTTTTTTAAGTAGATTCTACTTATCCGGGTTTACAGTGTAAACTCAATTTTCTCCAAAGTGTTTGAGCAGACTTGGCTGAACGCCCAGTCTCTCCTGGAAACTAGCATTCCTTCCTCAGCCACGTACAGTCGTGGTCAAAAGTTTTGAAAATGACACAAATGTTAATTTTTTACAAAGTTCGCAGCCTCAATTCTTATGATGGAAATTTGCATATACTCCAGAATTTTATGTAGAGTGATCAGATGAATTGCAATTAATTACAAAGTCCCTCCTTTCAATAAAAATTAACTTAATCTTAATCATGCATGTGATTGGCAAAGGGCAAAAAAGCAGGAAAATATACTGAGACCCCCCCCCCCCCCCCCCGATCAGGCTGAAATACAGGAAAGGGACAAGCTGCACATTTAAACATAAGAAGAGATCACAACATTACATTTAATAGGACTTAATATTCAAGATTATATACAGAGATGTGTTCAAAGGCATGGCTGCCCCCAGTCTTTACCCTGGATCTTGTCTAACTCTCCTGACTCTGTCCAGGTCCTTTCTACATACGATGCTTCAGAAATGTTTAGATCAGATACAGAGATCTTTCCTGCAGGAGAAATCTCAGTCAATGTGTATAACTCAAATACATATTTAAACATAGAAACATATTGGTCTTTATACTAATGATTAACTTGAACTATAAACTTTCTATCAACCTAACAAAACACACACGATACGATATTATCACGATACTTGTGTCATGATACGATATCATTGTGATTTTAAACATATTGCAATTTATTACCTTTTTTTGTTTGTGTTCCCAAAGGAAAACTCTTTTTCTCGTGGACTGAAAAAGCAACTGATTTTATTATTTTAGTACAAAAAAGTACCAAATATAAGCACTTTTGTATAACTTTCTAACCACCTCACAATTTGATTCCGATTCAGAGGGCTGAGATGCGATTATAAAATGATTATCGATGCATCTTGATGAATAATTTTTTTTCTATACAGCAGGGGTATTCAATTAGATTTCAAAGAGGTCCAGTTAGAGAAAATTTCCTTAAGCAAAGGTCCGGAACATCAAAACGACGAACTTGCGTTATCATTCAGTACTATAACCTATAGTTGTATCAACACATGTTTTTAGTCAACAACGGACTGTCAAATCAAATAATATTTCAGTCAGTTTTCACATCAAACTGGAAGGATAATAAATAATAACTATTCAAATAATAAATTCTAAATTTAAGTAAACTAAATTAAAGTGCCTAATTGTTTAGAAAAAATGTAATAAAAAGTGTAGCTTGAAGTGATGAAGTGGAGTCTTAACCAATTTTATAATAAACACTCAACACATCATAACAAATGAACAGCTGTAATGCCTCCTCTTCTCTTTCATTTCCTCTTACAGAGCTACCACTTTCCTACTTTCTGTTGTTCAGTGAGAAACGTGAGCTCCAGCTAGCATATTGGAGATCTATGAGATATTCTGGTTTTGAACTGCCCGTGGGAGGAATGTACCTGTAAAAATCTGTACATTCTTGATTAAAAGTCATGTGAAATCTCTTTTATCTTTCGTCTCCTCAATTCGGGTGTGTTTCCAAAACATCTCTGGTGAATCTCGCAGACTCAACTCGCAAGCATCGGTATGCACAGATTTGATTGGCTGAGCAGCGTCACATGAGACGATTGGAGCACATGCGATTGGTCTGTGAGTTTCCTGGTCCTCTAAACCAGTAAAGTAAATGCTAGAAAAGCTGCGCGGGTTAAAATAGAAACGCTCCGTCACGAGGTAGTAAGTCTCAATAATAAATGGGCTGTAGGTCGGCGGTCCGGAGAGGACGGCGGCTGGGTCCGGATCCGGACCGCGGTCCGCCTATTAGTGACCTCTGCTATACAGGATCTCTGGACAATTACTAAGCATTAAATATGCACATTAAAAGAAACATTTCCTAATTAGCTTAAAAGGACTAGTTTGTGTCCCAAATTAACTTTTTCATTAATTTACATTAACTTCAGCTCAATGGTCTCTCATTACATTTATACTTCAACACTTAACATGACAACCAGCTGTCAGACTCAGAAAACTGAAATATAATAATCAGGATGTTCAGTCTGTGTACAGGACAGAGCTGCACACCAGTTCAGTCTGAACTTGTACTTGATGTTAGTAATGACATACAGCTGAGCAAATGAAAATGACTTTGTTAATAATTTAGCTAATGTTACATAACAGCCATAAAACATGCTGTACAGGAGAGATGTTAGCCAGCGCTAACAGCTTTCACTTTTCTAGACAGGAAAACTACAGACTTTTATCAACGGACACCCTGTAAACTACACGACACATTTACTACCAGGGTTATTTTCAGGAAACGTCTGGTGAGCGTGCCGTTATTCCCTCCATGCGTTACCTATAACCTGCCTACGTAACACGTAGCATCTGCTGCGCGCGGCCGTGAGAGGACAACAACAGCTGCAGCTTCTGAGCTGTTCATCATAAACTTTGGCTTTAAAACTTCATACAAACGAAGAAGCACTGAACGCAAAATAGGTTAGTAACCTGTGGTGATTAAACATGTTCAGCTCAGCATTGGCCATCTAACGTAAGCTTGCTTCTTGCTTCAGCTACGACCTACGAGAGGTTAACTCCGACTGTCGTTCGTTATGAAAAGATGAATGAGGGTTTGTTTGCTTGCCAAATTTGTGGTGGTCAATTAATGTAATTATTTACGTCCCGCTGGCTGCCGTCACGTTAATTATTACCATTATGGTACCATGGTTGTGCTCTGTAAATGAAAAACAGGTTACAGTTACAGAATTCCTTATAGCCATGCAGTTTTATTAGCAATCTGGATTGAACGCAGCAGGTGATACAGCATTCGTAATAACCACGAGAGACTTAAGACATGACTTGGACTCTAGCTCAGACACTTGAAACTTGACTTGGACTCTAGCTCAAAGACTTGACTTGGACTCTAGCTCAAAGACTCGAGACTTGACTTGGACTCTAGCTCAAAGACTCGAGACTTGACTTGGACTCTAGCTCAAAGACTCGAGACTTGACTTGGACTCTAGCTCAAAGACTTGAGACGTGACTTGGACAAAGACGTGAGCATCTCTGCTGCTTCTAGCTGCCACCCCTGTAGAGCAACACACTCCCCCTGTTCTGTTTTACATCTGTTTTGCCTACTAGGTATTGTTATAAATATTGTTTAACTTTGTTCAAGTTGAGAAATACACATTTCAAAATCAGTATTTTGCGCATTCCTTGATAACTAAGCCAGTACCATTTGTTTCATTATAATCGCATCGCGACTCCCACTATTGTTCACAATAATTGCAATATGACTTTTTCTCCAAATCGTGCAGCCCAAGTTGGCACACTGCCACCTCCTTACTTTTCAGATTATAGTGCAACACTGTTGATTCCATGAATATAAAAATGTGCAAAGTTCACATTAAAAGCTAAAACTGTATTTAAGTCCGGCGTTCTCACAGAGCTGACGTGATGATGGTAAATCTTCAGGGTTCAGTCCACAGGTCCAGAGGGAGCACGTTTAGATTCAGTTAAAGTTTGTCTTGAGATGAACTCTTTTAAAAAAAAATTATTAAAGATTTTTGGATGACCAAACCTGACCTGGTGGGATGAGCCAGCTAAGACTAATTTTACTGGGGTTTAAGGACCAGTGTTTAACTGTGTGCACCTGTAAACCTCTGCCATTATGGAACTGCAACAGGTGCCTGCTTCTCCAGATTGGAAACATGGTGGTCTTGAAGAATCAAAGAGAACCTTTTATTTAAGATTAAATTTCTTCCCCTCAGCTGGCGCCAACATGAGCGAATCTGCGTCTCTTTGCATCAACTAGATTTTGCTTTGCTTTCAGTCTCAACAAAACACTAACTGCAAATTTAGATAGATATTTTAAGGAAATTCCACTAAGGAAACTATAACAAGATAACAATAACAACAAGTGTGTGACGACAGCACGATTGGGAGGAGGAAGCAGGACAGTATGTAGTCGCAGCCACGATAACATACATGCTGCCAAAAAATATGAAGTTACTGTTGTTTATTTGTCAGTTTGTAGAGATGCTACAGGAGGAGGAGGCAGGAGGAAACAGCTAACATTTCTCTGAAAAATGTTCACAACAAAGCAGCGTGACTGTGTTGGTGGACTTTAAGGTGACTACTGTGAGCAGAGGTTTTCCCACGTTGTTCAAAACTGTACGGTTTCTCTCCAGTGTGAACACGTTTGTGGACTTCTAGGGCACCTGACTGAGTGAAAGTTTTCCCACATTGGTCACACCAGTACGGTTTCTCTCCAGTGTGAACACGTCGGTGAATTTTTAGCTTACTTGACTCAATGAAAGCTTTGCCACACTGGTCACAGCTGTACGGTTTCTCTCCAGTGTGAATACGTTTGTGAACTTCTAGGGTACCTGACTGAGTGAAAGTTTTCCCACACTGATCACACCAGTATGGTTTCTCTCCAGTGTGAACACGTCGGTGAATTTTTAGTTCAGCTGATGTAGTGAAAGTTTTCCCACACTGGTCACAGCTGTATGGTTTCTCTCCTGTATGAATACGTTCGTGGAGTTTCAGTTTACCTGATCTAATGAAAGTTTTCCCACACTGGTCACACCAGTACGGTTTCTCTCCAGTGTGAATACGTTGATGGATTTGTTGTTCACCTGATGTAGTGAAAGTTTTCCCACACTGGTCACACCAGTACGGTTTCTCTCCAGTGTGAACACGTCGGTGAATTTTTAGTTTACGTGACGCAATGAAAGTTTTCCCACACTGGTCACAGCTGTATGGTTTCTCTCCAGTGTGAATACGTTTGTGGACTTCTAGGGTACCTGACTGAGTGAAAGTTTTCCCACATTGGTCACACCAGTACGGTTTCTCTCCAGTGTGAACACGTTGGTGGATTTTTAGTTCACCTGACTGATTGAAAGTTTTCCCACACTGGTCACACCAGTACGGTTTCTCTCCAGTGTGAATACGTTGGTGGATTTTTAGTGCACCTGCTGTAGTGAAAGTTTTCCCACACTGGTCACAGCTGTACGGTTTCTCTCCAGTGTGAAAACGTTTGTGGATTTCTAGGTTACCTGACTGAGTGAAAGTTTTCCCGCACTGGTCACAGCTGTACGGTTTCTCTCCAGTGTGAACTCTCTGATGAATCTTTAAAGCGGAAGATCTTGTGAAGGATTTGTCACAGTGCTGACAGCGGTGACGTTTGAGTTCATCTCTTCCTCTCTGTTCCTATGGCAACAGAGTGAAAGACAGTAAGTGAGATGTCAGGTGGAGGAAGCTATTTAAATTACTTTTAGAACACGTCTGTGGAACACAATGCTGAAGTTTGACTAATGCATTACCAACTGTGACAACCAACTGCAGGGGTGTGTCCACAGTGGGGCCTGGGGCACCACAGACTTCTGTATTCAATTCAATTTTCAATTCAATTTTATTTATATAGAGCCAAATCACAACAACAGTTATCTCACAGCACTTTTCATAAAAGAGCAGGTCTAGACCGTACCGTCTGTAGGAATCTGATTGATCATCACAGATGCCCCCATGAAATTTTCTTAATCATCTATCACCACATTATCGAGATGCATCATGAGAAATGTACGATTCATTGTGGTTCAAGCTTGAGCCACACCACAGTTCTGTAAAGATGACGAACGTCCTAAACCTTTAATACAGATGTTCCTGAAACTTCCTCTCTTCGTTATGAAAGTGCTGCAGATCAGCGTTCCCAAAATTATTTTAGGGGGACGTTCCATATTTGTTATTTTATGGTCACATAGCAACATTACAAAGAGGACATTTGGGACATAAGCAGAACGTTCCCATGTGGTCCTTTGTTGGCCATATGAGAACGTTTTGTTACATACTTATTCTGAACGTTCCCATACGGTTCCTTGTTGTCACATGGTGTCACGATTCTGTCTGCTTTGTGTTTTTACTTTCTAGTTCCCTGGTTTTTGGGGGTTTAGTATAATCAGGTATGTGATTGGCAAAGGCCAAAAAATCAGGAAAATATACAGAGACCCCCCTACACCCTGATCAAACAAGTTAAGTTATTCGGTGGATGTGTCGCAGTGGGAATCAAAGACAAGTGTCTAATCCACTGCACCATCGCCACCTCTATATTAATTATTTTGTATTAATTTTTACCATACTTCACAATATCTAATGAATAAGAGATAGCAGCAAAGGTCGCGGCCTGTTCAATTTACCATTCATTTCCAAAATTCAAAAAACAGTTGCCTCTCAACTCCATCTTCATCTATCCCACAATAACCTGTATGAACAGTTACAGTTCCAGTCTGGATTCCGTCCACTTCATAGCACTGAAACAGCACTTATCAAAATCACCAATGACCTCCTTGTGGCAGCTGATTCTGTACTACTTACCATTCTCATCCTCCTCGACCTGAGTGCAGCCTTTGATACCATCTGTCACTCTGTTCTCCTCAACAGGTTATCTTCTATCGGCATCACTCACACTCCGTTAGACTGGTTCACATCTTATCTTTCAGGCCACACTCAGTTCGTTCAACTTAAGTCTTTTAAATCCTGTCCCTCCCACGTCACTTCAGGTGTGCCCCAGGGCTCTGTCCTGGGGCCCTTACTTTTCATCATTTATCTCCTTCCTCTGGGCAATATCTTCTGCAAATTTAATATTCAATTCCACTATTATGCTGATGACACCCAGCTCTACCTCTCGACCATCGTCCTCTCTCCCCCCCACCTCCCTCACTGACTGTATCTCGGAAATAAAAACCTGGTTTACTAATAATTTCCTCAAATTAAACAGTGATAAAACCAAGGTCCTCCTCATTGGAACTAAATCCACTTTATCCAAAACCGACAGCTTTTCACTTACTATTGATAATTCCACCGTTTCACCCTCCCCCCAGGTTAAGAGTCTGGGAGTCATCCTTGACAGCACTTTATCTTTTCAGTCCCACATCAATAACATTACCCGGTCTGCCTACTTCCATCTACGAAACATCAATCGCCTCCCTTACCCCCCCACACTGCCGCCATTCTTGTTCACAGTCTTGTCACTTCCCGTTTGGACTACTGCAACTCTCTCCTTTTCGGCCTCCCTCACAAATACCTTCATAAACTTCAACTGGTCTGGAATTCAGCTGCCCGCATCATAACTCGAACACCCTCCATCCACCACATCACTCCTGTTGTCCAACAGCTTCACTTGCTCCCGGTCCTGTCCCGTATCCAATTCAAAGTCCTTCTGTTAACATTCAAGGCCATCCACAACCTTGCCCCTCCGTATTTGTCTGATCTCCTGCAGGGTCCAACTTCCACCCGCTCCCTTAGATCCTCTTCCTCCATACACCTGTCTGTCCCCCCTGCTTGTCTCACCATCGCCCCTTGTCTCTGAAACTCTTTACCCACCCCAACTTAGAAACATCGATTCATTCTCCCATTTTAAATCGCAACTCAAAACACATCTGTTTAAAACTGCCTACCTCATTTGATGTAAATTCTTTGCTTTTAGCTTGTTTTAATGTTCTTAGTTTTGCTGCTTTTAAATGTCTTTGCATCCCTGTACGGTGTCCTTGAGTGCCGAGAAAGGCGCCTTAAATAAAATTTTATTATAATAATTAATTTAATAATTAATATTATTAAAACGGCAGTCCACAACCAACGGGTGACGTAATGATGACTACATCCATTTCTTATACACAGTCTATGCTTCTGACAAACTCCCTTGCCGGCCCCTGGTATGCTGTTCAAGGAAGTACAAGCAGTCTTTAGGATTATCAGCATTGTCTTCGATGCTGTGTTCAAAAGCCCTCATGAAGGTGTGATATTGCAAAGGATCACCATCAAAAACCTGAATGTCTCTTTTAGGCAGAAATGAAAGAGATTGTTGCTGAATCAATAAAGCATTTCATTTTGTTTTTCCAAAACCGTAATTAATTGCAAGGTACACCCAGGATTCTCAAAGTTAAATTTAAGACTTTTTAAGACCTTTTTAATACCATTTAGGATGAACTTTAATACCAACTTCAATGCCATATAATGGAAATCTGAATGAATTTGAAGCCCGAGAAAAACAGTATTTACGAACTTGCCTAAATTTAATACATTCGTATTTAACACACTATAGCTTTTTGGGGTGTTTTTGTACTCTGATAACATAAAATGAATCAAGGACGTCACTTTATGTTGAAAAGTGGTGGGGACATAGGAGTTCAGATTAGGGGTGTGGCTCACATGCACGATTCCCTATATTGGGTCACGAGAACAAGATATTTTAACACTATTTTGAAGAAATATTCAATGCTGTACAAATATACAAATGGGGGGTCTGGGGGTTGTCCCCTAGAAATTTTTGAGCACTTAATTAACTAACAGTTAATTTCCTGCATTCTGGAGACATTTTCTACACCAATTTATGGTAGAATTGTCTTGTGATTCAGGTGAAAATTCAAAGAATATAATAGAAAGAATATAATGCAGTACTCAGCAGCTTGTTTTTTTAGCTTAAGTTACTTTTTTTTAAAGATGTTTATTCTGTTGAAGAAAAAGGACTGAAAAAAGGTTTTACTCATGCATATTTGTTGACAAAGAATTTATCATAATTGTTTTGAATGTTCTACCTCAGATTTGTGAAGTGATCCACTCAAGTGTTTGTCATGTTCTGACCATTAAGAAAAGTTTAAACCACAATTAACCATCAAGTTTCTTCAACTTTTACTCAGGAGCAAAAATCAGCCTTCAAACTCAAAGGAAATAACAATTTGATCCTTACCGTGATAATTATCGATTTTGAAAGATATGAAACTTTTATTGTAATAACATTTTTGGCCGTATTGCCCAGCCCTAGCTGATGTTAATAAAATAATTAGGGATGCAAACTAGTCTTTTTCTTCTTCTTTTGGATTTTAAAGCGCAAATTAAATCGAATCGTGAGGTGCCCAGAGATTCCCACCCCTAAAATTTATACTGCATGTGAGCTCCTTCTCTTTGCATTTTAAAATATTGAACCAGATGTTTTGAACATGTGTAACCCTGAAAACAGCTTTTAAAACACTGATCAGTCATCAGAACAAACTTTCCTGTGATTGGTGCTTGTGTAGTTTTCTTGTGCGCCACACCTGATGGAAACAGGACTAGTGAACGACGTTACAAGAGGGTCCAACTGCAGACCGGTCAGGACATGAAATACATGCAAAAACTACAAAATAAAAGCATGCGATTTAAAAGGAAACGCATAAAAAATTTTATCACGTAGACATAGGGGGAGGGTTTTTGTTGTTGATTTATATTTAATTATTTAGTCAACATTGTAATAGGAAACTAGCAGGCTAATTCCTTAATTTGAGCCTATTCTACTTAGCAGTTAACGTGCAAGTGTAGCAACAAAGCAGACTGTGCATCGCTTCAATCATTCAACTAGTCACAGGATCTTTTTTTTACAGGCAATATTTATTTATTCTGTCAAAACAGGATGTTAATTCCGTCGATCCAGCAGCCACATCCATCCACAGAAAAACATTGTCGTTGATTAAGAGTGTAACTTAGCCTCTCTTCCAGTCTTAAAAAAAACCCCACACATACTTCTCATTCATAATTTCCCTTTAAAGAGTAATATAAAATAGCATTTTACTGCTATCAGCTGAATTTAATAGGAAAAAACGGACAACTGTATGAACTGGACTACAATTTGAGCTTGGTGGGGGTCTGTAGTATAACGGACGTTACCGGCGGAGATTAATAAATAAATAAATAAATAATAGAAGCCTGGACAGAGACTTCTTTGCGTGGTCAACACTTTCTCTCGCTTTTGAAACTTGAACTTTGTTGCCGTATCACACACATCTGAGGCGAGTAGTGGGCTGATGTGTGTGATACGGCAACAAAGTTCAAGTTTCAAAAGCCTGAAACAAACCAACAAAGACTGCTGCTCAAGGAGAGACGCGCATCCGCCCTTTATGGTATCATATTAATTATTAATCATATCATAATGACATTCATGTGGTGCGCAGCGTAGTTTGATTGGAAAACATGTTTATTTTAGTGTGTTTATCTTATTAATGTAATGTACATATATGATTAAAAATAATGGTTGTTGGTAAATGAATTACTGAACCCCACAGATTCACGATTAAGAGCTCAGACCTCCTTATGGACCGTAACTAGAACCCTGCTGGACTATCAATCTGTAAAATCTGTAAAAATGAACACACATGCAAAACAACAACATGTATCGATCATTTTGTAAATATCCACTTTTTAAAAATGAATGGAGACACAAAAGTTAGTAGCCTACTACTATACATACTAGTGAGAGCAGCAATAAATACATGTCGGTTTAAATGTGTTCTTCCTTTCATAGGGAAACAGGCTGAGGTGTTGGAGCGCAGAGACGCTGTTCGCTGCAGCAGAGCGCCCAGATTAACCTGTCACACAGCTTCGTACCATCGATCGCGTTTCTATTCCGCTATGTTTGCAACATGAAGATCTGGACGGCTTACGTATTTGACGCCATCCCATCAGGCACCATCATGCTTTTTAGATATACTGGCAGACTTCCACCTGCTTCTGTCTCCCTCCCCGATGTGGCTGAATCACCAGTAGGTAAAATCTGTTTTTCCCAACTTCCTCGAAATAATAAGAACATCCGTGCTTTATTTCAGAAAGAAATAGTTTCTATTACAAATGTTTAATTTTACTGGAACCGATTTGTAAATGACACTGACTGGAAAAAGGTTTGGATGATTCCTCACAGATACTTGAAAGTAAACAAGGTGAAAGTGTCGTTCAGAAGAAGTCACAGATATTACCCTGCAAATCATTACATGGTTAAATTAAAGAGACATCAATACAAACTGTTCTTTTTGTGAAGACCACCCAGAAACTGTTTGGCACCTCTTTTGGTTTTGCTCACACAACAGAACATTTTGGCAAAACCTCAGCAGATTAATCATTGACCTCATCTATAAAGACTTTGCCTTACTGTGGAAGAATGTTGTATTTTGCTTTTATAGAAGTCAAAGTGAAGAAAAGTTGTACTTCATTATAAAATTATTAATTCTTTCGGCAAAATTTCACATTCATAAATGCAAATCCAGCGCTAAAAAAACCTAATTTTATACTTTTTTTCCACAAAGTTGTGCCTTATATTAATCTGATTTCTGGCTCCAACAACAGAAAGGCAGTTAAAACTGTCAACATGTGGTCCTCTCTCTCTTTGTAATGACCTGTAGGCGGCTGTGTTTTATATATGTATTTGTATACTGTTCTGTATATCTTTATAAGTCACATCTGAATTGTAACCCCCATTTATGCATTAAAGATGACTTTAAATTAAAAAAGGAAAACATTTTTTGGGACATTTTATTGTCATTTTGCAGCGACACAGTCTCCTCCATGATCACATCCTCTCTTTGAATCATCGTGCAGCTGAGATGTAGCCTGCAGACTCCACTCAGAAGCAGAAATTATCTGTTCATGTTCAACAACGTCAGTTTCTATTTTATCTGTAAATGCCAGGGGTATTAGAAACCAGTTAAAGAGACAAAGGTGCTGATTTTTATTTTATCCAAGAAACTCACGCTGTAGAAACAGATGTATCATTTTGGAGTCAGTGGGAAAGATGTGTGGTTTTCCTCTGGTAGGAACAGGTCAGCAGGGGTCGCTGCACTACAGGGAAAGTTTAATGGTCATATTATCAGCCACGTAACAGATGTTAATGGTAGATGGATAATTCTCCTAGTAGATACAGACCAATCTCAATTTCTTATTATAAATATTTATGCCTCCAATAACAAACAAGACAGCACAATTATATTTTCAGCAATAGAGAATAAAATTAATCAGCTGTTATTACAGATCCCCTCAGCTAAAGTTTTATGGGGAGGAGACTTTAATACAGTGATGGATGAAAACATGGATAGATGGCCTCCTAAAGATAAAGTAATGAGTGATTTAGGAAACATATGTGGTAGGATGGATCTTATTGATATCTGGAGAAATAGACACTTGAACCAAAGAATATATACAACAATCACACACAGACTTCTGGTTGATCTCCTCAGATGTAGAAGACAAGGTGGATTAGTGAGAATAGAACCCTCTGTTTTTACAGATTTTATGGCTATTATGATTATAGTAAATATGAGGTAACTAATAAGGACTATTGGAAATTAAATCAAACACTATTAGAAAATAAGGAATTTAAAAATGAAGCCCAAAAAATTATTGACAAATATTGGAGACGAGCAAATTTATTGAACGAGTTTGAAAAATGCTGGAAATTTATGAAATACGAATTTAGAAATTTTACATTGTCATTTGGGAAACGGTTTGCTAAAGCAAGTAAAGAAAGAGACCCGGATAATTACAAATATGATAAGATTATTAGAGAAAGTACGTTTATCTGGAGAAGAACTGAAAGAACCGTCATCTCTACAACTTGAATTGGACTAAATATATGAAGAAAAGGCGTCTTCGTCAGATCCAGAAGAAAGTGACTAGAACAAGGTGAAAAATGCACTAAATACTTTTTTAATCTAGATAAAAGAAACTATGAACAATCATCACTTTGTAAACCTAGAATCAATAACATAGAATGTCAAGATGAAAGAACAATTTCGCAATATGTAGCCAATTTCTATCAGACGTTATACGATACCGATTCTGAAAATGAAGGCAATATAGATTTGTTTCTTAAAGACATAGAAAAAAGCATTAAGGGCATTGATGACAGTTTTAAATCAGTCTGTGACAAGAAAATTAGTTTAACAAAAATGTATTGACTCTCTTAAAGAAAATAAATCTAATAAGTGAATTTTATAAAGTCTTTATTAAGACTGTTGCCCCATTTTTAGTGTCTGTATTTGAAGAAGCCAAAGAAAAAGGAGCTACCACCTACTCTGCATCAAGGTCTTATTAAATTGATCCCCAAACCAGAAAAAGATAAATTAAATATTGAGAATTTGAGGCCAATTAGTCTATTAAATAATGATGCCAAGATATTTGCTTTGATCTTTGCAAAAAGATTAAAATCAGGATTGAATAATATTATTGATGAAGAACAATCTGGATTCATACCTGGTAGAAATATATGCAACAACATGCGGTTAATTCTAGATATGATTGATTATAATTAATATATAGTGGACAATAGTTTTATTTTTTATTTGTTGACTTTTATCAAGCATTTGACACAATAAGCCATCAGTTTATGTTTAAAGTCATTGAATGCTTTGGATTTGGAAACCAATTTCTAAATGCTGCCAAAACACTTTATAAAAGGTGCAACAGCTCAGTTAAAACACGGCCCCTAGATTTGATATTGGTGACAAGGTCGTCCCCTCAACCCCTTTCTGTTCCTTCTGGTAACACAAATTATGGCCGTACAGTTTCAAGGTACAGTGACCTTAAATAGAGAATTTAAATGATCTCAACTGGCAGATACAACTATTTTTCTGTCAAATAAAGAGGAAGTGATCAAAGCAATTAGTTTAATGGAGGATTTTTCTATTATTTCAGGCTTAAAAATGAACCTGAACAAATCTGTATTATTACCACTTAAAGAATGTGACCAATCAGAAGTAGACACATACCTGTGAGGAACACCGTTACATACCAAGGTGTAGTTACAGACAGGAATGAGAAACTCTGTAGTAATCAAAACTTCAGCCCTATAATTGGTAATAACGGCAGAGTTCTACTTTCTAAAGCTGAGGGAACATCCAGATCTGTCTGTGTCTCCTTATCGTTGGAAATGCCGGAAGTAATACACAAAAAATTAGATGCAATCCTATTTAATTTCATATGGAGGATTAAATATCATTATTTAAAGAAAGATATCTTATGTAACACAAAAAGAAATGGAGGTCTGGAGGTCTTTGGAGGTTTTGAAACTTTAAACAATACTTTCAAAATTAAATGGCTAATTAAGTTAATTACAGAAAAAGATAATATTTGGAACGCCAAATATAATAATAATAATAATAATAATAAATTTTCATAAACAAGCTCTGCTGGCCTGGAAGTTAAATTACAAGCATAATTTTTCACCAACTAATTACTACATTTGGAACAACAAGAATATTCAATATAAAAATAAATCACTGTATTATGAGATATGGGGTGCCAAAGGTGTTGTATTAGTTAAACAGCTCGTCGGTGCTGAAGGGCAGTTACTAACTTATGTTTAACGGTTACGCCAAAGGAATATGCAGTGGTTTCTGATGCTGTGCTGCAACTTAGAGGTTTGGTTAGTGAGGTCTCAAGGATCCAACCATGTAATAGTAGTTTATTCCTTGGAGAAATTGACATTACTAAAAATAAATGTTGAAATAAATATATCAGGAACTGCATACAAGGAATAACTCCTCTGGACTTCACTTTATGGAGAAATTAATTGGCAGAAAATGTGACTTATTGTAGACAAATTCTGTCTTAACAACAAAGTAAAAGAGGTTTCCTTTAAGATATTACATCGTATATATCCGGTTAAAAAAAACGTTTGAGAGATTTAGATTGAATATTGAGTTTTCTTGCACTTTCTGTCAATTCCATGAAGAAACTATTTGTCATTTATTTTATTAATTTATACACTGCAGAATGTTTTGGTGGAAAACTGGACAAACATTTCAACTTCAGGAAAAGGACGTAATTTTTTTGTACAGTTGGTAAATTCCACATCCACAAGAAAAAATGGACAGACTCCAAACCAAACTTTGGACACTTTCTCAAAGAACTGCATCAGTATAGCATCAAATCTAACTGTGTGTTTGACAAATTTCTTTTGGACAGATGATATATTACTTTGAATTGATGTTTTTATTTTTTATGTCCTGCCTTTGTTATTATTTCTGTATGTTGTCTTCTTATATAGCAGCTCCTGACTGTTCTGTGTTTTAAATTTCAATTAATTAAATAAATAAAGTTATCGGACCGTATTTGCTGGTTTGCAGTCAGCGGATCCTGCAGCACGTCGTGAACTGTCACCTGTTAAACTGTCACACCTGAAGTCCTGAACACTGACCTGAACACCGGGGCTGTCGGAGCTCGAGCCTGCCGCTGGGCTCCCGGGGACCCCGCTCCGGGGCTCCCGGTTCCGCCGGTCCATCCCGGTCTCCTCCCGGACTGCTCTTCAGGCTGAGATCCCTCTGAAACTGCGGCTCAGGGCGGTTCCCGGCCACCGTAGTGCAGCAGCAGCTCCCGGCAGGTCCGGTTCTTCCGTCCCAGCTGACTTCACCGCGCCAAGTTCATGACGCCATTCGCGTTAGCTGGAGGGCTAAACCGGAAGTTAGCCCGCACGGCCGGAAACGCCGCAGCGCCACCGCCGACCAGCGTCTGTCGGTGTAACTGCAGAGCGACCTTCAGCAGCATCTGGAGTCATGGAGGGGTTCAGATTCAGACCGTCTGGAGTTTCCAGCTGTGTGATAAAGTCCTTCAGGAGGTTCGTGTTCACCTCTTCCTCTGGACTTCAGGCAGCTTTAAGATTCCAGCTCATATTTTGCTGCCGTGCTCTTTTTTCCATAATAAAGTTGCCTTTAATCAAAGAAGAACCAACTTACTGGACTGCTGATCTTCCGTTATAGGAGGCGCGGCTGCTTTCTGTTGAAGCTGACAGGATTATCTGTCATCATCTCTTTGTTCTTCATCTTTATTGTCTTTATCTGTCTGTTACTGAGCAGCAGGTGGAAGCTCTGTTAGATTCTGACGGAAAATCCGGAGGTTTCTTTGGAGCCCAAACAGACTCAGAGGCCAAACAGTGGGCTTCTGTTTTCCACAAGTGATGCAGTTAATCAGAAAACAGGAGATTTAATCAGGAATGCGAGAAGACGATAGAGAGATTTTCCTGCTTCCACCACCTGTTCAGGTGCTGCTGCACAGACGACGCCGGACGTTTTATTGGTTCAGGATTATCCAGCATACAAGTTGTATTAAATTCATACAAGTTATCACGTTTAAATGTTCTATAAATGTACACGAGAGCAGAACTCTGAATGTTTTTATTACATTTGTATACAATTCTAAATAGTCTGAGTCTCAAGCTCACATCAGGTCACAAAGATATAGAGTTTGATTAAAAGAGCTAAATAATCTCCTAAAACAGCAGCTCACTGTAGTTTTTAAGAGGAGGAAGTGGTTAATCATTTTAATATTGTACTGAACATTAACATAAACTAACATGAACATGCTGAACAGACGATCTTCATTTAGGGCTAAAGCTACAGCTTAACATCAAGTCATTGCTGATCACCGCTTCAGGGCTTTCAGATTGTTATTAGTTAAGAATAAGAAAATCTTTATCACCGTCCATCCTCCCAGCAGTGAGCTGCAGTCAGAATCCACTGCTTACGGATCAGTGATCCACCACAGCGGGGCCGCCGTTGACCATTTACTGCCATCAGTTTCACAGACGCTCTGTAGTTCCACATTCTTCACTCCAATGATTCTCTTGAAACCTGAAAGAGAAAGTCCGCCATTAGGTGGCTTTTCACTCTAGAAGGTCATCTGGGAAAATGTGCAAAAAGGTGTGAGCTTCCTTTGAACACCCAGTATTAGTTTATTTAAATTTCCCACATCCAAAACACACTAATGCAACTAAAGTGCACATCTCAGAACAACAGTAACAGTCTGTGAAGATTCTCTGTCATGCAGGTCATAGTTATCCAAGGAAGGTTAAAATCAAAGGCAGTTGGACGTGGTTGAAGATTTTCAAACTAAGAGGTGTCCATCACCTTGTGTCGGGTCAGATGTTAAGCCTGGTCCCCACCTTCACCAACTTAATAAAACTTGGTCAAAAAATACTCTATTAAATCCCCACAACAGTCAAAAAACTTGCAGACAAGAACTTCTCTGGAGACGGTCAAGAGTCGGTGCAAAAAGAGTTTATTCCAAAACAGGACAGATAAACCCGTCCAACATCCCAGCAGGCCGGAGGATGAAGTCCCTCCTACGGTCTGCAGCCTTATATACATCTCTTCTGGCTGGTTGCCCCTCCTCTCCTCATGATGAACTTCTTCTCCTCTGTTCTCCAGCTGTCAGTTATTACTATATTGTTGACTTTCTACATCTTTATACTACTGGATAAGAAGTTCATCATTTACATTTCAACTTCAGTCTCACTGTGTTTTTTAAAGGTTACTGTGCTTAATTTGACACACAATTGTATTTTTTAAGCAATGAATATAAGAATAACATAAGTAAAGTTGCATTTTTCATTAATGCTTGGTTTCTTACAGCATTCTTGATGTTCTGCTTCTGCTTCCTGCTTTTCATCTGTCTGTCGTGTTTTTTGCAAAGCAAGAATTCCTTCAGCAGGTTCACTCAAAGTTCACACTGGCAATAATAACCAGAGGCCCAAACCTCTTAATCAGTAATTAAGCATGTAGTCTTAATATTAATATTAATCACAACATAACAGTAGACCCAAGCATGCACTGTCACAGTGTCGGCAGATCTTGCACACCTGCAGTCTCTCCTGTGGTCATAATCTACAGTAGATGACACCTGGACAAGACGAAACATCTGCAGCCTCTTCCTGCAGTCATTCCTCCCACTCAAGAATCTAACAGTGAGCTTGTTTCTGTGTTCATGACTTAGAAGTAAAAACCGAAGCACATATGATTAATGATTAATACTAATAAAATGGTTAAAAATGATGATATAAGAATGATTACTTATTGATTAAAGTAACTGATTAAAGATAATAAAACTGATTAAAATGATTAATAATCATTATTAATATTGATTAAGGATAATCACTGATGACTGTTTCTTGCCTGATGTCTAACTTTTTGTCTGCACTGCTCCCCTCTCTGAGTCCGGCATGCCCTCTGCTGATCACACTATTTTAACCAAAACTCTGACTTTGTGGAATAAGCTGGTGTCTCTTTGCTGTTTGCTATAGACGGGACATTTTCCTCTGCTGGGGTTTTTGATGATGCCTTTCTGTCTCATTCTGCTCCCAGAGCACACATGTGCTACTGTTACTGGCAGCTAGACACAGAGAGGACCACACGCTCTCAGAGCTTTAGAGTTTCAGCGTTGTGATCTTAACTTTACACTATAAAATAACTCTTTAACTGGTGACAAGAGCTTTAGAGTTTTGACACTGTGATCCTAACTTCTACCCTCTTAAATAATACTTTAAATGATGAACACTGAACTTAATGGAATGATGAATACAATTAATAACAACAATTCATCACTTGCTGACGACCCCACAGGTTAAATAGACTCTGAACTGAAGACGCCTCCCTGATAACAGCCGAAACATCTTCTAGTATCTACATCCAGGTGCGGTCACTTTCCTTTCGTCTGCAATCAGGGTGGAGTCTAAAGCCTGGACAGGAGTGTCCGTGGGCCAGTCAGCGTGTGGAGACGGTGGACCAGCGGGTGGCCAGCGGGTCGGACTGCAGTTGAGGTGTGTGCTCATGATGTACTCGCTCTGTGGAGGAAGGGTGTTTGTTCTTCAGTGAAGCTGCGTGTGTGTTCAGTTAAGTAGGTTGTCTGCTAAGTAACCTCATTTAAACCACTTTCTCTTTTTTAAGAGAGTAGTTTTTAGTTGTGCACCAGTGTTGTTTGTGAGTATTTAACTTTAAATGAAATAAATTTCCTTAATTTGCTTGCACATAATCTGTTCCTTGTTTCTTTAAGGCCGGTTTTCATTTTAAATTGTTACTCCTCTCCTTCTTCTGGGCTTGAGCCACATGAGGACGTAACAGTACACGAGTGTGAAAAGGAGAGCCAGGAAAATTGCAGCCTACGGAAACTATGTATGATTTAACCTGAGAAGCAGACGTATAACCAACAGCCCATATCTAGGCTCCATGGTAGAAGGACACAGAGCAGGAATGATCCTGGTAAAGGACAGATCCACCTCACCGTTGAAGCCCAGAATAAAGAGTTTGACATCTTACTCCACAAACTGGAAACACATTCGCACAGTGCAGAACTGGGAAGGTTTGCCAGTACTTTGCCAAACCATTCTCAGCCTTTCACCTGTACACTTTAAAAAAATCAGTCATCTAAATAAAGCAGTCTGGGGTTCAGCCTAAGGACACCTGACCTGCAGACCCGTTCTACCTGTTCACAGTGAACATCTGTCTGTCTCTGGCAGCTCTGAATCATTTAGTGTAAACTCTGCGTTCGGCAATCTTTATCTTTCACAGCCTTCCTATCTGTTTACATGTTTCCTCCAACTCTATCACTTAATTTCATTTGGTTTTCCCAGAAGGAGATGAAATATAATCAACCTATAATTATCATTATAATATAATAAACAACAGTGAGTTGTAGAGGGATGAAATGTTAAAAGAATTGTTGATAACTGTTTACTTTAACTGAGGAACTTCAAATGTCAGATAATATCTATAATGGGGGGTGATGAGCTCTGTTCATGGCCTATATTAAATAACTTGTCGTTAACATCGTTAATATCTCTCTCTCTCTCTCTCTCTCTCTGCGTTGGGGTGGAAGCTGTGGTCTTAACTTTAGGTTTGTGTTTTCTTTAAACGCGATCGTTGCCTCTGTTGTGTTTGTCATCTTCGCTGCTCAGAGTATTTTCATTTTTAACTGTCCGCTGAAGGTTAAACAGGAGGTTTTTGATAACGTTATAGGCTCCCAGGTACATAGTCAAATGTTTTGTGGGTTTATTAAAATGGAGGAGCTCACAGAGTTTTTATCTCGTCAATTTGCCTCATAGTCTGATAGTAGCCTGTAGTACCTCCATCGTATTTTATTAAACGTAACTGGCACAGAACGTCTGTCGTGCGTGCAGTGAATGTATCCAGATGTGAATTTTAATATCTCAGTGTTACACAAAGATCTTTGTGTTCATCAACACAACCTTTTTAAGTCAGTATTGTTTGCTTACAGCTACTGCTTTACTTATATTTCCACGTATTGTGTGAGGTGTTGCTCTACATTGGTAGAGATACGTTTTGATTAGCAAATAGTTCGATAATCAGGAGTGAGGAACATCTCTCTATTTTTCTCCCTCTCTCTCACACAGCTATATCAAAGCGAGACCACCAGTTAGCCGGGGACATGACGAATGACCGGTCGTTGCACCACCAGCCTACTGAAAAAGACAACAGGAGAGGAAAACTAAGACGAGAGCTGGGAGACAGAGACAATACATTTTCTGTTGCACACATTTGTCTTTGTTGGACTTTCACTGACCTGACTTCAGCTTCTATCTTGTGAGATCCAGTAAACCACTGCCTGCCTCTAAAATCCCTCAAGTGAAACAAGCCTGTGTGAACTGATCTTGGGCTAATATGTTGGGTTGGGTTTTGCTCAGTTTGATGTTAAATGGCAGATGAGCTGCAGGTGAATATGTAAGAGACGTCCTCTGTCCCAGATGAAACCTGAAATACCATGTGTGGAGGATGTCAGATAGGATAATATCAGCGATGGTGAACCTATCAACCTTTGTGTTGTTGGCCAGATAAAAAGAGTTAAGTACAAAAAGTCATTTAGTTACATCACGGCATGTGTTCCAATAATAACAGCAGCAATGCTCTCCTCTGTGTACACGTACATGTACAATTTAGGCTGGATTATTTGTGTCCCCTTCAAATATTTTGCTTGAGTAATTTTGTTTGTCGTCCCCTCCGACTGTTAATAAAAGTAATCTGCTACACAATAACAAAAAAGGGCTTGAATCTGAAGCTCACATTTTTCCCCATAACTAATATTACTTCACCCAACTGAGCATGGCCCTAGTTACAGCCCTGCTAAGCTTCAACCTTTGACCATGAATTGTGATTTTAGGCATTTCTGGCCTGGCTTCAGTCCGTAAACCAGAAGGTTGTCGTTGGTTGGGATGGGTATAATTTTATTGATATACTCTTATTAATACACCTTATTGGTTCAGCTCTTTATCGATACTCTCATCATTTTCATTACTGAAAAAAATTGCCTTTTAAAAAGTGTATTATTTTCAAAAATAATTTAATTTATTAAAACTAAACTTAGTTTTTAGAGCAGCAACAGGTTTTCCAACAACAAAGTCACTAATATGTCAGTAAAATAATCATATTCCTGAGTTTAGAAGGTGTGAACTCCTTCAGTCTTTCCTCCTCCTGCTGCTGCTGGTAGATCTCATCTCAGGGCAACTCCCCACTGTGACACATCCACAGACAGAGGCTGCATGAAGGCCTGAACTTTGAATCATGCAAAGCTGCCATACAGGAGTCACAGAGCTACAATCTAGGACTGGAAAAGCAGAATAATCGGTCTCCTTTCAGCCTAGGCTGTATTTCATTCTATTCTTTCACTACCACAATCAACAGATCCGCTTAAATGATTTATTAATGATGGAAACAGAAAGATATTCAAGGCTTATTTTTCACTTCTGCTCAAACCTTTTCTTCCAGTCCTCTCCTCCTCACTGTCAGATGGGATCTGAGATCCTGCTTTTGACTTCCATAGAACAGTCTGATGTCCATTTGTCTGTGAAAATGTGTTCAAAGAAGTACAATTGAATAAAAAATAGAATATAACTTTATTTAGAGCTTATACTGTGAACTAATACATGTGATAATATGTGATCATTTCCAAACACATTGTCTGCAAAAACACTTTGAAAAGAAGCACCTTGTTCCCCCGAGGCAACAAAAAGAACATCTGAACATGCAGATTAAAAAGAAAACTCCATAAAACCTGACGAAAGGCTTCTCTACACCTTCACACACACCAACATCTATATTCAGTTCATGTCATTTTAAATAAGATTACTAAAGCAAATAATCTCACCTCCTTTTCACGCCACATGCTCCTGTCATCAAGTGTCAGAAAAGGAAGAATGATAGCAGCTCCCACATTTTATTAAACTGTTCTTTGATACTTTTTGGAAAATTCTAATTGTTTGCAATCATTTAAATAAGCGAGTGCTGGACATAAGAACGTTCCGTTGCCGGAGGCCAGTGCTTGCTGGAGAGGTCAAAGTGTGGGCTTAGTTCCTTTGAACTGGTCTTTCCTTACTGTTCTTTCACTCAGAGAAAGTGTCGTTGTGGAATATGCTGATCAGAATCATATTTGCATGCTGCAAAACAATAAAATACAAATTGAGCAGATTTTCATCGGCTCAGTTTCCCACTGTTTTGCATCTGGTCACTTATTCCAGTGACCAGATAGTTCAGTCACTTTCATTTTCACTCAGATTGTTATTATGGCTGATTGTGTTGATAAGTGCTTTAATTTGTCTGTGACATAATTCACGTGGTGAACGTGGTTACTCTTCACACTAGAGTAACTGAAATGCTCTATGTGCTAGTAGCTAATATATTCCAACCTACTATAATTAACTTTCCAGGCGTATTGCTGATCTGAACTTAAATTTAGCGTGAGAGATCCAGTTAAATTATCAAAATCCAGTTAGAATATAAAATAATTTTGGAGAAACTGTTCCTTTGTCTGTTTTTATATATTTTTAAAAGTATAAATAAAAATTGTCAAATGAGAAAAAAAAAACAGTGACTCCCGCAGCTCAGAGCTGTGGGGGGGGTTCTGGACCATAATTCATGCAAAAACCCCCGGGTGGCCCAGTTTATTAAAATAAATATTATGTAGTTGTAAAGTTCAATGTTTTAATTTGGAACTGGGACTTTGATTCCAGACACTGAAACATTTTTATTGAGATAATATTACTACCACACACTACGCAGATCTGGAATTGGGCTACTGTGTTCTTTTCCTCCTGCTTCATGCTGTGAGCATTTGGAATAATAGTAATGTACTGAAATGACTTTCAGAATTCTGTAAGTCAGTATGTATGTCTGATTTATCACTGCTCACTTGTGCATTGGTGATTCTGTTACTTGGTTTTGGTTTCTAGTCTGTTCTTTGGGCTCTGACTAAACGGTTCCATGACTAATCAGATAAACCCCAACTCAGATGTGTGCATGCAGCCTCGTGAATAAGTGTGTTGCAGTCAGCCCACATGCTTTGAATGTGCAAATTGTGCGCGTGTACGAGGACGTGACCCTTCTGGCCATGAAAGCAAGGTATCTAGTCCTGAACACATGCTTAGGACCGGTCGCCTGATAAAAACCTTTGACCTGAGGGGTTCACTTAGTGCGGAACATCTTCTCATCCTCAAAACTGGTGAGTTGAGCTTTCAATTTCACTTGATACAAATTTAATGAAATTATTTCGGCATTCACTGCATGAAAAGTGGGCGTTTTGGCAGTTAATGGCACGTTAAATTGTCGTCTAAGTTCAGGTAAACGGCTACTTACGGGAAGTTTTGGCCAGCACTGGAAATTGTCAGGAATTGCCGGTAATTGACGTGGATTTTGTTTGTCAGTGTTGCCCCCATGACCCCCCGTCCCCTAGGTCTAGGGGAGGCTTTCACATGTAAATGAAAATGCTGTGAGCTATGCAAAGACAGATTAGGTAAGCCACCTTTTTATCTCTTTGTGTCTTGGCTTCAGTAAAACAGAAATCGAGAGCGTTACTAAACAGAGAATGAAAGGTGGCAAAGTAATTGGTGGTGTTTTTACAGAGTGCAGAGGATAGTTGGAGAAATGTGACGTGCAGGATGGAACAGCAGAGACTTGGACACACTGGACTAAACAGCAAGAAGAAACAGAGTATGTTATGTTACACTGGTTCAAAACCTCAGAATGATAAAAGGACACTTTGGTTTAATAATTAACTAATTAATAACGAAGACTGAGCATTTACATTTTACATCCAGTCATTTGGCAGACCCAAGTCTAAACACAAGGAGCCGATGCTGACGCTTCAGTGATAGGCTTCAGCGGGTGGGACACACACCCGGTTGTTTGATCTCGCTCAGCCGGCCTTCAGATTCTAGTAGAATGCTCAGTAAAGTGCAAAGTGCAAAGTGCTACATCAAGAGTAAGAAATCTCAGTAAAGTAAAGTAGAGTAAAGTATTACCTCACTGCTGCAAACTCTTACTTGCCCAACGGTGCTTTCCTGTGTTTAAGCATCATACCCTCTCAACCAGTTATGTATGTATGAATAAAATAAGGACTGATCCTTGGATCCACACTCCTTACCAGTCGGTGGCAATAGTGCACAATTCGTTGTTTGCCAATCTAGCTAGCTAATAATAGTCAAGAAGAAGAAGCAGAAGAAGAAAAAGAAGGAGACCTCCAGACTAAAAAAGTAAGAGTTTATTTTACCCTTCCTCAACCCAGCAAGCTTTTGAATGTATAAATGCTGTTTTGCTTAATTTGTCTGGGATTGAAGGCGAGTTAAATTGTGGGGGGGGCGACGTGGTCAGCGTGATGACGTAGGTCCCTTACAATGTCTGGTCATTTACTGCGTGCACGAGGTAAGTTGCGGCTCCATACATAAAGTTTAATAAAGTTATTAAGTGTAACTTGAATGTGACCAAAGTGTCTTCTGTTGGACGTATTATCCGACCTGTGATTTGAGTTCGCTAACGGAAGTTAATCAGTTCACCAGGGCTGCACAATTGCAATGAGAAAAATTATTCATGAGCTGTATGCAAGTAACGTTTAAGACAACAACCTAACGTAACCCCCCCTCCCCGCCCCGCCGCTAATTGTTCAAAACATAGTCGGACGCGCCACCGGAGCACCGAGAGAAACGGCGGTCGCTCTGTGACAGAGACGGAGAGACGTCGGCAGCAGCTGAAGCAGTAAGACAGAAGACAACTGGGAGAAGATCAGGGAGGTTTGGCTTTGGCTCGCTGGCCATTATACGTTATACGCCATTATACGAACAACTTGTCAGTCTCTCCTCACGTCAACCGACTAATGATAACCTGGATGGGGCGGGACGTTAAAAAAAAGTGTTCCAACTAACTTTACAATGTTGAACACTATATGTGATAATATGATTATTGACAAGTTAATACTCAGCATTACCAAATTAAAGACCAATTGTAGAGATGGATTACATTTAAAAAAACAACCCACAGAAATGAAACTGCTGTAACTGGATATATTAATCAACTAGTGGTCAAATATTATGCTACTATATGAAATTATTACATTTATTCATTTAGCTGACGCTTTTATCCAAAGCGACTTACAATTGCTATACATATCAGAGGTCGCACGCCTCTGCAGCAACGAGGGGTTAAGAGTCTGTGTGTCTGTTAAAACTACAGCTATGGAGATGTTTCTGTGTGTTGTGTTAATGTTATCTTCTCGGTTCACTGTGGATGAGCTGCTATATTTAGCCGTGGTTGCTACAAGGAATTACAGATGCTTTCTAAGAAGATTTTAGTGCATCAAAATACAAGAACTGAACTGTGAATTTATATTTTTGTATAACAAAGTAATGAAACATGTTGCCCTGTATGTGAATTTTAATTTATTTGCTTATCTAAGTTAATGTTTAATTTCATAGATTTATTTTTCTAATTGCTTTTTAAGTTGTATTTCTGCTGATTATTTAGTTTTTTATGTTTCATGTTGACTTTTGAAGGTTTGAGTTCATTTTCTGTTTAATTTAGAGGGAAGATATACGAGTTGAGTTCCAGGTGTGTGTGTTGGAGGGCAGGCTGCGCACTGGAATTAAAGTAAGTTGATGAGTCTTGTTTTACATAACGCTAATTTTAAACTCAGGCACAATGTGGCCAGGAAGGAGAGATGGCTGTTCTTAAATCCAACAACTGCTCCAGTGTGGAAGAACAAGAAGAAAAGACGGGCAAACAAACCAAAAATTGTGGTAAGACTTGGTCACTAATAAGCTAAAAGCAGGTTTGTTCACAAAAGTGACTTTTGTCTTGCCTTATTTCACAGGAAGCGGCCCGTCTCCTGCACAACTCTGAGGGAAATTGCAAGCGCCATGATGCTGAGCAAGGGTAAGATTTACAGAATAGGAATGCATTGTACTGTATAAAACTAAAAAGTTATTTTGCTTGTTATTTGACTGTACTTTTGTTTTCACAGACTGCTCGCCTGATAACGAGGTGGTCACGTCCTTTTTGGTCTCCGGATTTACACGTTGTGGATCCTGATGCCATTGTGTGGAAGTATCAAACTTTACCGTGGTGTTTTATTTTATGTTTTTGTACAGTGGCTACGCTATTTATTTATAGCACACATTTTTCCCCCTCAGGCAGGAACGTCCGGTACAGTAAACCAGATCTTGCTGCTAGTGCGAGTTCTGCCCGACGTCGATCGAGAGGGAAGCGGTAAGATTTATTGGATTAGATTCATTGTTGGTCAATAATACATCTGCAGGCCGTGACACTTTTAAACTCTGACTCAAAGATGAGATGGGCACCAATGATCTACGGAGCAGATTGCCCTCCGGTCCCATGTTAGTGATGTTTCCAGTCAGGATGCTTTCTGTTGCTCCTCTGTGAAAACTGACAAGAACCTGGCGCGGGAATATGGCCTTCTTAAGTTCCCAGCCATCTCTGATCTTTCTTCACCGCGTGGAGATGTGAGATGAACACTGATTGATGATGTCATTTGTTTCACCTAATGACTGAGAAGCTAGGTCGGGCTGCTGCCACTGCTGCTGCTTTTCAGATGGTAAGTAGAGTCGGGACGAACGCGAACGTGCAGCGCCAAAAACGACCGACAACTGCCGGAGATTAGTGGGATTCAAGGTAGTTTACAGGGACAAAAATCCCACTTTTCATGCAGTGATTTATCATGCCAAAGTTTTAATTTGTGTGTCACTAGTACACAGTGTGACGCTGTTCATTGTTGTTTTGGTTTTGTGTATGTGCTTTGATTCAGGTGTTTCAGTTTCTCGGACAGCAGCGATCAATAGAAACATGGCGGTTTTTGCTCCACTGTGTTTGCTCCTTTGCTGGATGCTGCCTGTGGTCTCCACGGTGAGTGGAGTATGTGAAAATCGATGGACATCCCAAAAATGTCCCAAATAATAAAATGGGTGCTTACAGAAATACTTTGAAGAAGCTGCTCACACATAATTTTCGAGCAAAAACACATCATCAGATAAAGTTTAGCAATAAATGTTCTTCATTTAGAAATCGAGCACATGAGCATAAACAACATTAAAGTGTTTATTCTGTTGTGATAGATCCACTACATGTGGTCCAATCAGTTGAAGCACCAGTTACGAGCACAGAACCTGCATATTACATATAGAATTTGTTGCATGGGTATACCGGTCTGCTGTTAATTACAGTGACAAGTGTTGGCTCTAATATTTTAGCTGCAGTGTTACTTGAAAACATGCGTAATGAAAAACCTGCTCTCATCAAGGCCAGGTTTTTATGCAGACACTAAATAATAAAGAACAATTTTAATTGCCTATTTAATGACCTTTCTCCATCTTTTCCTTGTTGTGCTAGGACATTCTATTGAGCATGGTTGACACATCAGTTGACGACATGTACCACGGCTGCGAAAAAGAAATGGAAAACAGAGTCAAGACCAAATACCTAAAGAAAGAAATGAGCACATTTTCAGCAGCCTGGACGAAGGCAGAAGAATGCAGTAAAAAAAAACTAGCAAACAGAGAAGAAATGCTTCTAACCAAAGATCACATGCTAGCAATTTGTTTATATACAGATAATGACGTGTACCAGCAGTTTAATGATGCCGTCCGGACAGGAAGGAGCCAGATTAGCTCCTCATTTAAGTTCCACTCTTTACATTTCCTGCTTACATCTGCTATAAAGGTCTTGAATTGCAATGTCCACTGTCGCATTACTTACAGACGAACCAATGTTAAGTTTATTGGTAAAGTCAACCAAATATTTCGGTTTGGATCCTTTACCTCCAGCTCTAAAAGAAAAGACTTGAAAACCTTCGGTAACAAGACCTGCTTTAAAATTAAGACCTGTTTTGGTGCTTTTTTGAAACACTATTCGTATTTTCCTAAAGAGGAAGAAGTGCTCATCCCCCCCTATGAGATGTTCAGGATAACTGATTCTAAGGGTCAAATTAAAGGTCTGGAAGATTGTGAAGTTGTCTATGTCGTGGAAAGTTTAGGGCCTAAGAACAATCTGAACTGTGCAGCTTTGGCAGGAAGTAAAACTGGGTAGCCTTTAAGCTTTTGTCACATCTGAATTAATTCGATTAGATAGAACATAGCTACACTTTCTCTTCGAACCGTGACTTGTTCAGGGTTTGTTTGATCATCATTTTCTTCTTTCTGCTTTTGTCAAGTGAATACAATCAATAAACTGCTTAATGCAATATTGTTGTTTGTATTGTTCTCATTTCTCTGTGTAAAGTGGGGCTGCTTGATTATGTCAAAAGTCATAATCCAGATTATTTTAGTCAAAATTAAGATCACAAATATTTAAAACAATTATTCATTGACTTCAGGAACAGTATGCATTTTTTAAAACTGAATGCTTCAATTAAAATACATTAAGCTGTAATTCCAAATAGCCCATGAAATAAGAAGTAGACATACAATAAATAACTTTCTGGACAGGGGGCAGATGGGCTGAGAGGGATCTAGCTGCAGACCTCCACAGTGGAGTCGCTTCCGGGGCAGGCTCCACTCTCAGGACAGGAAACACAAATCATTCGTGACTTCAAGTAGAATCAATTTTGATTCCTATTTAATTAATTAGTCAACATTGTAACGTGAAAACTATTAATTCATCTTTACATGCAAAATTGGTTTATTCTGTCAAAATAGAGCTTAAGCCACCACTTCCTGTCTTTCTCCCAAAAAGAAAACAACACACTAGAATTTCCCTTAATTTAGTGCATTCAGCTGAATTGAATATGAAAAATGACAACTGTGGGAACTGGACTATAGCTAGAGGAATACAAAACTATAAAATCTGTAAAAATGAACCCACGTGCAATAAAATCTGTATACTTGTATCAATTATTCTGTAAATATCCTAAATATCCACTTTTACAAAAGACACTAGTAGTAAATAGTACTGTAAAAGTCTAATAATTCACCTTATACTAAAACAGCAAGAGGAAAGTTCATCAGGCAAAATATAAGGTAACAGGCGGATCTGATAACTTCCTTCTTTCGTTAAACAACCCCCTACATAAACCAGATAAGCAACCAAACTGCACCTGTATGCACTTAATCAATTGCACATTAACCAAAAAAAGTCCATCTAATGGGTTTAACAACGTGTATTTAGAGATATGAGGTTTATACCACGTCGGGCAGGACAGATATTCGCGCTCCGACACATCAAACAAACATTGCAAACCTTATCACCATTATCCACCACACAATGTACAAATCCACAATGTCCCAGCAGATCCGCTGTTCATTCAAACAACTTCAATTGTCCGGATTGAACTAGATGCAGGTGAAGCTCGGCGAGCCGCAGTCCACAGTCTGTTTAGCCGATGGGATGATGCAGTAATCCAGATAAATCCCAACATGTAATCCACCAAAACGAGTTCCTTTGTTGAGTTCGTCTGGCAAACATTACACAGAGCCCACTACACGCCGACCGCTCCACCTGTTGACTCCAGAGTTCCTCCCAAACGTCACTTCCCATTCTCCTTTTAAAACCTACCCGGCAAAACAATAATGAGGGGGGAAAAATACATAAAGGAAAATCCGTGATTACACCACAGGCCTCTGATATACAGTAGCTTTTTTACATGTGAAGGAAAAACCAATACACACAAAGCACGTTTACCAACACATTAAAAGCTGCACATGAAGGCAGAACAGGTGACTATTACTTTACCCACTGTGTGGATTGCACAGTTAGAAAATGAGCTGGGAGCAGTGACTGATTTGCATCATGCAGAACATTGAAAGCAGTCTGAACGGATGGGTCTTGGCATGTGTCTGCAGTCAAAATAGCTACCGCTATCAAAACGTGTTCATCTAAAATAAGCAAATCAGTGTAGGCCAACAGGGGCTGGTGTTATACTTTTATGCCATCGTGAACAGAAATATGTTGCAGTTACTTTAATATTATAGTGTTTTGTGCTATAAAGAGAATCATATTATGACCAAATGCTGACACTTACATACTTAAACACTCAAAAACAACAGTGCAGTCACATGAAACAGAGCTGTGTGTTTCTGCTTCAATTCAATTGAATATTTACTGGACTGAGTAAATAATAAAAGGTCGGACCAGGAGAGAAGGGCAGCAGAAGCAGCAAGTTATTGGACAAATGAGTACAATTATTTAAGAAAAAAATACATGTTATTAATTTCAGCTGTTTAATGTTAACAGAATCATATAATCTTTAAAAATAATGTTATTAATGTTAGTCCAAAGTTTTGTTTCTATTAAGAAGCATAAAACAACAATTTAAATCTTATTTTATTATATTGTGGTGTTTTCTTTTGTTTTATTCATTTTTTATGCAACATTTGTGGACGTCCTCGATAAACAGATGCACCAGTCATGCTGGTTGTGTTATAGTCTTTGGTTTTCCACTTTATCACTTGTGGTAAATATATATGAAATTTATGCTAGAGAGGACGCAGGTTTAAGGCGCCCCCTGCTGGCTGCTAGAGAGGACGCAGGTTTAAGTCGTCCCCTGCTGGCTGCTAGAGAGGACGCAGGTTTAAGGCGCCCCCTGCTGGCTGCTAGAGAGGACGCAGGTTTAAATCGTGCCCCCTGCTGGCTGCTAGAGAGGACGCAGGTTTAAGTCGTGCCCCCTGCTGGCTGCTAGAGAGGACGCAGGTTTAAGGCGCCCCCTGCTGGCTGCTAGAGAGGACGCAGGTTTAAGGCGCCCCCTGCTGGCTGCTAGAGAGGACGCAGGTTTAAGTTGTGCCCCCTGCTGGCTGCTAGAGAGGACGCAGGTTTAAGGCGCCCCCTGCTGGCTGCTAGAGAGGACGCAGGTTTAAGTCGCCCCCTGCTGGCTGTTAGAGAGGACGCAGGTTTAAATCGTGCCCCCTGCTGGCTGTTAGAGAGGACGCAGGTTTAAATCGTGCCCCCTGCTGGCTGCTAGAGAGGACGCAGGTTTAAATCGTGCCCCCTGCTGGCCGCTAGAGAGGACGCAGGTTTAAGTCGCCCCCTGCTGGCTGCTAGAGAGGACACAGGTTTAAGTTGCCCCCTGCTGGCTGCTAGAGAGGACACAGGTTTAAGTCGCCCCCTGCTGGCTGCTAGAGAGGACGCAGGTTTAAGTCGCCCCCTGCTGGCTGCTAGAGAGGACGCAGGTTTAAGTCGTGCCCCCTGCTGGCTGCTAGAGAGGACGCAGGTTTAAGTCGTGCCCCCTGCTGGCTGCTAGAGAGGACGCAGGTTTAAGGCGCCCCCTGCTGGCTGCTAGAGAGGACGCAGGTTTAAGGCGCCCCCTGCTGGCTGCTAGAGAGGACGCAGGTTTAAGTCGCCCCCTGCTGGCTGCTAGAGAGGACGCAGGTTTAAGTCGCCCCCTGCTGGCTGTTAGAGAGGACGCAGGTTTAAGTCGTGCCCTGCTGGCTGCTAGAGAGGACGCAGGTTTAAGTCGCCCCCTGCTGGCTGCTAGAGAGGACGCAGGTTTAAGGCGCCCCCTGCTGGCTGTTAGAGAGGACGCAGGTTTAAGGCGCCCCCTGCTGGCTGCTAGAGAGGACGCAGGTTTAAGTCGCCCCCTGCTGGCTGTTAGAGAGGACGCAGGTTTAAGTCGCCCCCTGCTGGCTGCTAGAGAGGACGCAGGTTTAAGTCGCCCCCTGCTGGCTGCTAGAGAGGACGCAGGTTTAAGGCGCCCCCTGCTGGCTGTTAGAGAGGACGCAGGTTTAAGTCGTGCCCCCTGCTGGCTGCTAGAGAGGACGCAGGTTTAAGGCGCCCCCTGCTGGCTGCTAGAGAGGACGCAGGTTTAAGGCGCCCCCTGCTGGCTGCTAGAGAGGACGCAGGTTTAAGTCGCCCCCTGCTGGCTGTTAGAGAGGACGCAGGTTTAAGTCGCCCCCTGCTGGCTGTTAGAGAGGACGCAGGTTTAAGGGTTCACTCAGAGACAGAGGCTGCCGCTGAAAAGCGGAGAGCTGAAACGTCCCGTTCTTCCAGTGAGGGCACGTGAGAAACATCTCAGGCAGACTGAGCCAATCAGAGGCAGAGGAAGGTGGGTCATGCCTTTGCCTTAATAGGATTTAGTGTTGGCAGCGACGGGAGAATTGTCTCCATCAGCCAATGAACTTGTGTTCTCACAGCAGCAACAGGTCACGGTTTATTTTCACCGCCTGGAAATTCAGTTCAAACCTACTGTGTGTGATTGTCTTCCTCATCTCTCGGTCTCTCTCCCTTCATGCAGGTGTGCTGTTTACGAAGCGTCCGGTCAATCAGACGGTGTCTCAGGGGAACGCGGCGAGGCTGGGCTGTGCGGTTCAGGCAGTGACCATCCATCGTATGGATGAAGGACGGAGAGAAACTTTACAGCACCAACCAGATGTTCATCACGCTGGGAGACCTACCACAGGTTCATATCAATCAATCGACGGGTCGATCGATCGACGGGTCAGTACAGCAGCTTTTTAACCACTGTTATCAACTCCAAACAACAGTTAGCCCATAGGCTACCTCCCAGGCTTTTCATAAAAGAGCAGGTCTACACTCTCTGTTATTTACAGAAACCCAACAGTTCCCGCAGAGAGCAGCAGTGGGTGACAGAGACAAGGAAAAACCTGGAGCAGAACCAGGGTCAGGGTGGGGGCCTCTGCCAGAGTGCCAAATCATTGCAGGAAAATATATCTCCTCATGCCACGAAATGAGGACAAACAGTGGAAACTCAGACTAGATAGATATTTTCATTGTTTGTTATTTTAGTAACTGTTCCTTTATTTTTTTAATTTCAAATTTGTTAGAAACACCTGCAGGAAGTGATGGGAGGAGAGAGGAGAGGGACGAGAAGGCACAAGACTACAGGAAAGGGGAGAAGTTGTGTTAGTAACATGCAATAATGGGATGAGGTTGCATACAGAGGGAGAGAAAGTAGAGGAGAGAGGAGCTCAGTGCATCATGGGAAATCCCCCGGCAGTCTAGGCCTATAGTAGTAAATGTTTAGTAGTACTATAGTAACTTTCTATAGTGCATCTGAAAGAAACATTATAGTGATACTATAAAATATTATTACTGTTACCTCACTGAAAGAGCTCAGACTCTTCCATTAATAGTTTTTTCTATAAGACTGATTTACTACTTTCATTTTATTATTATTTTGTTGTATTTCTATAGTAGTAAGTGCAGCTGCAGGAAGCCACGGAGAAGGAGAGGTCTGACACAGGCAGATGTGACGGGCACTGATGAAACTAATAAAATAAAATAAATTGTATG